TTGCTATATGTTTGATCAAATAAATGCAGCCTTGGTGAACATTATAGACATTAAAAAAAAATTTTTTTTTAAATGACCAAGCCCAAACTTTTGAACAATAATATTTGCACACACATACATATATAAATTCATAAAAATGACACATCATTGTTCATCTTGTTTATTGGTGCAAATAAGTTTCAGGAGTTGAATTGCAATTCAAAAGGCATTTTCAATTTACTTATGAATGCTTCACAACCTTGAATCTCTGGCATACTGTCATCTCTCACATACCACCACTGCCAAAAACTTTTACTGTGATACTGTGAATCAAAAAATCTTTGTCCCTATGAGGTGTTCTTGATGCACAACACAGACAGCTTGCTTTGCTTTTGTTATCCATTGTTCTCATTGTGTGTTTTTCATGTACGGTCTTTTACCGTTGAGACAGGATGTACTTTATCCCTGGCTGTGGTGAGAGAATGCTGAATTTAGCTGAGCACCGCAACTGCTTTGAAGAGGCTTCACAAACACAGGTTTGAAGAGGCTTCGTCTGTAATGTGCAGCAGTTAGACTGACTCTTTTGTCTGTGTTCGGTGGAGGGTGTTCAGTAGGAAAATCTCTGCTGCACTTTGAAGGTACCAGGATATGTCAGTGTGCCTGAAGACAAGAAAGAGTGGGAGAGAAAAGAGTAGAAGTATAATATAAAGTGTTTTATGAAAATGTCTGAGGACTGGTTTTTAATCTTATGTCAGGATTACTCTGCTGTTTGGATTTAAATAGCATAGAGTATAAAGATCGGTTTGGACTATTGAGTAGCAATCAGTTATTTCAGTCTGTCGTTATTTACACACTTTACACACATGTTGTTCCAAACCCGTATGACTTAGTTTCTTCTGTAGAGCATAAAATATGTTTTGAAGAATGTTCTAGTCGCTCTTGTCAAAAAGGGCACAAAGCATAATTAAAATATAATGAAAGTGGCACATAAGACTTATATTATGAGCCTTCTGAAGTCATATAAGGGCCTTATGTGGGGAACAAGTCATTGTTAGTTTTATTTATATGCTGTTATATATATATATATATATATATATATATGGTGTTTCATCTGACAAGCTTCAAATTATTTATTTGTCTTGATCCAATAGCTTGTGACCCTCTTTTTCTGCTCTCATATGCATTTAAAAACAGATTTAAATTTGTTAAATTAAAACTAAAAACAATTTTGTGCAGTTTGAACAGTGATGAATGTGTGTATTTAATGATGACTTTTGTTTGAAGAAGTAATGCACCACATGGTTTAACAAAGGTGAAAGAGTGTAAAGGTGAACATGTCTTTATCCTAAAAGTCATTATCACAGAATATATAAACCATCATATTTTATTCCACTCTATTTTGTATTTTTTATTTGTTTTTCATAAAAATGTGACCAATTATTAGACTGCATTTATCTGCATCTAAAAAGTCTGTGTGACACCTTCTGAAAATTGTTCATTTTGCTCATTTTGCAACAGACTTTTTTCCCTTCCAAATATTGTATCATCAAAAGGAAGTTGCTAGCATCATACTATTTCAAAGAATATTTTAATTTCAGACACACTAACAAAGAAATGTTCTAGAGTCAGTTTTGTAAACAAAATAAAACATTATTTTCTAACCCATCTGTTTACCTGTAAATTATTATGCAAAAGTCTGACAAAGAGAACTGGAGTATTTAAGTTAAATGCTCATATCTGTGATCTGCAAACTCTTCCTTTGTCTTTACTTCTCACACATTCACAGGTTTAATGGATGTCTGATTACAGAAATCAACCCTCATTAATAATCTTTCAGCTTCACTCTGAGCTGCTGTGAGAATTGAAGAACTGATAGTTTAACAGTGCTGGAAATCTAGAGCTCATTTCTGATTATAACGACACTTTTGAGAAGATAAAGACTAAAATAACAGTTATGTACAGCAGATGAGCACAACATTCCTTTGATGTTCTTCATTATTCAGTGTCTGGATGCAAGAAAGTGTTTGAACATAAATCTCTGTCTCTCATTCTACATATATTAACTTTACATTGTATCATTCTTTCATTCATCCGATTTGTAACCATTTAAAGTGCCGTTTCCCTTTTAAAACTGTGATGTTAAACTTAAAGTTTCGATTAAAAAGATAAAGACTAAAATACCATAAAGAAATAAGAGTTTGTCGCTATTTAGTATCTTGATGCAAGAAACTGTTGAATATAAATCTCCGTCTCTCATTCTACATTAACTTTACATTGTATCATTCTTTCATACATCCGGTTATATATATATGTATAATTTTAGTAGTAGTATTTAATAGATTTTTTTTTGTTTATCTATTTTTCCTTTCTCTATTGTAAAAATTACAATAAATACAATTGCTTCTAAACAACTATTTGATTAACACACTTAAAGCTGGATGATTGAAAGTGATTGTGAGTGTTTGAGCATCTGCTAAATGAGCTCCATTGACTCCTTCAGTGAAGCCGCTCCACAGCCGTTCATGAGAGTTTAAATGCTGGAGAATATTCCCCACTTTAGTCATTTCCATGAGTACAAATCTTAATGTTTAAGCATATAATGATATTCTAGGGAATTGTGCGCTTCTAATTTTATAGCAACATTTTGGACAGGACAATTTTCTATTTTAACATGACAATGTCTCTGTGTATAAGGCAAGGTTCAAAAAGAAATGATTGATTGAGTCAGCATGGAAGAACATGAGTGGTCTGCAGAAAGCCAAGTCTTAATCCCAGCTGAACACCTCTGGTGGGACTTTACATGCAGACCCTGAGCCAAAAACTCATCACCAAACACCAATGA